GGGGGGGAAGGGGGAGCCACCGGAACACGGACACCGGCAACGGGTACGGTGGAGGGGGGCAACGGAACCGGGTGAGGTGGAGGGGGAGGGCACCGGCACCCAGAACCGGCACCGGGCACGGCGGAGCGGGGGGGCACCGGCACACGGACACTGGCAACGGGTACGGTGGAGGGGGAGACCGGCACCAGGCACGGTGGAGAGGGTCGAGGCGGGGAACACCGGAACATGGACACCGGCAACGGGTAAGGTGGAGGGGGAGACCGGCACCGGGCACGGCGGAGCGGGGGGGCACCGGAACACGGACACCGGCAACGGGTACGGTAGAGATGGGGACCGGCACCCGGAACCGGCACCGGGCACGGTGGAGAGGGGCCGGGGCGGGGCACCGGAACACAGACACTGGGAACGGGTACGGTGGAGAGGGGCGGAGGAGGGGGCACCGGAACACGAATACCGGGAACGGGTACGGTGGAGGGGGAGACCGGCACCCGGAACCGGCACCGGGCACGGCAGAGAGGGGCGAAGCGGGGGGGGACACCGGAACACGGACACTGGCACCGGGCACGGCGGAGAGGGGCAGTGGAACACGGAACTGATAACGGGCACGGTGGAGGCGGGGGGACAGAACACCGGCAACAGGTACGGGGGAGGGGGCACCGGGGTCGCCCTCATCCCCATCCCATCCCCATCCCATTCCCATCCCATCTCCATCCCCATCCTCATCCCCATCCCATCTCCATCCCCATCCCATCCCAATCCCAATCCCAATCCCATTCCATTCCCATCCCCTCCCCATCCCATCTGGTGGATGTTGGGGTGCCGCGGGCTCCCGTCTCCCCACACCGGGGCTGTCCCCACCCTCCCCGTGCCGGGGGTGTGTGTGTGTGTGTGTGTGTGTGTGTGTTTCACCCCGTCACCCCCTCATCAGACTCCGGGGAGCCCCCCCCGGGCCCCCACTCCCCGGTGCCGGGGGGCAGGAATGCTGAAACACTGGCTGGATGTGCCTCACCCCGGACGTGCCACGAGTGGGGCACTGCCCCACGGCAAGGGGACAGCCCAGGTCACCCGTGGGGACAGGGGACACCCCCCCCCCCCCCCCGGGGCCCCCCCCCCCGCCACAACGTCCCCCCTTTCCGTGCCCGTCACCGCGGCCCCCAGCCCCGGGGAAGAGCGGGTGGGGGGGGGGGGAGGGGTGGGGGGGGGGGGGGGGGGGGGGGGGGGGGGGGGGGGGGGGCGGCTCCCGGGGGGGGGGGGGGGGGGGGGGGACGGACACGGTGTCCCCAAAAGGGAAGAGGGACATCTCTGCCCCCCCCCCGCAATGAGGTGGAGGCGGATGCTCTTTTCCACATTTTTATTATAAAAACTC